ATCTTCAATCATATACAGTATGTAGTTAATTCCACAATATAGTCAAACCTTGCCACAGCGGATGAACGGTACACATACATAAATTTTATTTAAAATCTGTTGTGGCAAGATTACTAAATACTGATACTAATCTTGCCACAGTGTATTTTTATATATTTTTACATGTGATATGCGAAGTAAAAATTTTTAAAAATCCGTTATGACAAGAGTTTGATTATTATTATAGTTCGCTGTGACAAAAGTTGACGAATTTAACATATATAATATATATATTACATTTGATCAACCAATAAAAATTATCATAAATCACATGATATGTTCGTACAATTTACTAAAAAATTTTCAAGCTCGTACGTACGTACGTGTACGATTCCCAACCCTGTGTGCTAGTATATGTTCTGCTTCTTTTTAGTCGAGTTTTTCTTGAGTTCAACTATTTGTTCATATACCTCAATCATATTGTCTCTTTTCCCTCGAGATGGCAAGCCAAGCCATCAGTTTGTTTCTGTCTTGCTAATTCAGCTTTCGTCTAACAATCTTATTAAAAATATCATCTTCACCTTTACCCCCACTTCTAAACTTTGGGTTAAGTATTGCACTTTTAATTCTTGTTCTATTTTTTCGATTAATTAAAAAAATTTTTTTTTAGATTTAAATCATAATTGTTACAATTAATTGTTTCTGTTGCGAGCATGTAATTTCAAATACAGCTCAAGAGGTGTCCGATAATTATCAAAGATAAATTGAATATAAAAGTCCAATAATAAATATATTTCCCTATCTCTGCACACATCTAGGAGCCTTCCCAAAATATTTTATTGTGCAATTCTCTCTCTCTTTTCACTACTAATACTAAGTAATGCTGGCACAAGCCTAAGATAATAAAATAAATGATATTTATTTACCTGCTTTAGCTAAGGCGTCCCCTAGGTAGAGTAATATTTGGCTAGGGTGGGTAGTGCTTTTCAGCAAAGGTTTAGTAAGGGTTTTATTTATTGAGGATCAAGTTATTTATTGTAAAAGTGTTTTGTTACAGGATTATAATTACTGTATTATGAACATGATAATTCTCACTTGGTCTAAAACCAAGCCTTTTTACCTCTTGAGGTATTACAAATAACATGCATGACCTTTACAATATTTTGTCCAATAAATTATGCCTATTTTTGTATTACTAACTTAATGATTACTAATGCTACTAAATATTGGGTCAACTGAGCTTTTGTGTAACTGGGACAAACCTCGTTTTTTCTGAGACAATTTGTCCAGTTTATATTCATAAGGTGTTCCAGAAGCCAATTTCATAGTAATTTCGATACCATTAATTTCATATCAATTTACTATGTGTTGCAATCCAAGAAAAAAAATTTTTTTTCATCAAAGTAGTTATCAGGCAAGTGAGTGAAATGAGCTGGACATGCATAGCATGCCATATAATGAAACTAGAAATAATAAAATTTTCAAATTAAACATTTCTGCATTCTATATAAAAATAAAACAAAAATGTTATCTTGTATTACCCAAACTTTTAACTATATAGTCAAAGCACTTGCTAATATAGATGACAACAAAGACCCATTTGAGGCTGGAGATCTAGTAGAAGTCAGAGAAGAAATCGAGTATGTTGAAACACCAAAGTTAACTACTCAAAAGCTAAAGCTATTTCATCTGGGAAATATGCTAAAAATAAGGGTGAAAAGGTACCAGACTGGAGAAGGTGTATTATCCCAAGATACAATGAATTAAAGCATTGAAATTATAATCCTGAAAGTAAATATTACACTACTGCTAGAATCAATAATTTTATAAAGGAAATAGAAGAAATTGAATCTGAAATCAATCAAGATTGAAATTATATCTAACAACAATCAATTATATCCTTTTATATTTAAATGATTCTAAAACAATTAGTCCTCATAATTAGTTATATATTTTTTTTTGCAGCCTCTTTTACCAGGAGTTTTAGGCTGAGGTGGATCAGGAGTAGGAACAATTTTAAGTAGATTGGTTGCTTCAGATTCGAAAATTTCACCAAGAAGTTATATATTTGAAAGCATCATTATATGAAGTTGCAGACATTATATTTACCTTTCCACTAGGCCAAATAATAACTCAAGTTTTCTTTCCATTAGATTCAAATATAATTGAAAACCTTCTAATAGATTCAATGGGATCAGCTCTAAAGACAATTTTAAATGGAGGTGGATACAAATCACTAGCAAGAATAGAACCAAGCTTTGAAATATCAATGCATAAATTAGAAGGTAATATCATATGATACTTAAAGTTTAATAATGAAAGATTGCTCTTAACTATTTCAACTGTTTCAAACTCAGCAAGTCCATTAGATTCCTTTAAGATAGTTAATCAAGGTTTGAACAGCAAGTTCACCAGATCAATAGTCTTCATCAATGACCCCAAATACTTGTAAATCTCCACTCTTAGGAAAATAGCACATTCTATAATTCTTTTAAGGATACTGGCTGCAACTTTTGATGATGGTTGCTACCATCTTTGTGTCATATAAAAATGATTGCAACTGCTGATTGCAACCACCTTTATGACCATTTTGTTTCCATTTTTGGATTGCGACATGGAACACTAGTTCTTTTAGGATGTTTGTCATGATTTTCTTGATTGTTCATTTTTTTATTTATTCTTTTAATATACTTATATCCTTAGGGCATGTTAAGTATATAATTATTTTAGTGCTTTTTTACTTTAAATATGAGAAAAGCTAACAATATTTGTCAAAAGATTAAACTTATTAAACTTAATGACAGTAAGAAGTCATAGAGGTGATTTTATT